TTCGACATACATTTTACAACTCCGTGAATAGTAATGGAGTTTCACCCTAATGATATGAAAAACATATTTCACGACTACTGCATATCACCGCGAATATCGCGTTTTTCACCAAGTTTTACGCCACTTCGTGTAAAACGAGTGAAACTCCAATAAAACGAATGATATACACCAACTAGCCACGAGAAATTCGGAGGAGACGTTCTCCATTCTATGAAAGGCACTCATACAACGATCGAATGACATACTTTAGTTTGCCAATATCTATCACTTATATATTATATGTTTCAACCATAACTACTACGACAACATCCCCTCCTCAAATTGTGTACAAACTCTACCTGGTTTTTCGCTCGCCACTTGATCGTCATTCCTTTCCATTTTTTCTTCGCAACTTGATCCTCCTCAGCCTCTACACCTTCCCCCCGTGCTCCCGGATGATGACTCGGTAGACGGGTCCTCAGAACCCACCGAGAACCTCTCTCAAGAAGGAGCTGAAAGAAACGCCAGCAAATACGACCAAGATAAGTATGATGCTGATTCTCAAATTTCAACTAATACCAATATAAATTAGTAAGGCTCATTAGTGTTAAAATATATGTTCGCTTCTTTCCACCTGAATTGAAAAATTTCCTCATTAGTAATAAAAGTTAACACGAATTGGAGTAGAAATGTACAAAAATCAGAAAAAAAAATCCAAAATTTCCTCAGAATTTTCACATGTGCATATTTATCAACCGCCTCTCCTAATACTAATACCATATCAACGTTACCCTACGAAAACCCCGACGAAAATAGTGCTTCCCTTCACTTCACACTACCTGACCAGTAGTGATGATGCTCGTAGACGCTACCGCCTCGAATGGACATAATACTCGACTACAAAGCGCCTTGGCAATCTGATCAAAACCATGTGAATGCAAACCATCTACATTTAATTTTACCTGTATAAACTTCTCGGACTGGCTAGCGAAGCATGCCACCATCACCAACTGGGGCCTCCCATAGGCGTTCTCATTCTGCGAGGTCTGGTCGTACTCCCGAAAGAGGAACCGTGTCGTTATATCATCTACAATAGAGCAACAAAACCCTTCCTATTTTCTCTAAAGTGAAAATTCAAATTACTTCAAGTATTCTTGCTTTACTATTTAATCACTTAAAAACTCCAAATTCAATGGAGTTTCACCCGTTTTACGTGCAGTGGCCTAATCCTCTACGAAAAACCCAATATTCGCGGTGATATGCATTCGTCGTTAAATTCATTTTTCACTACTGTTTTTCATATCACTAGGGTGAAACTCCAATGATAGTAACAGACAAATAACCCGTCCGGTTCCCCCTCCCAAAAAAATCATAAATTCAAACACTCCTATTTTGAAAGCTCGTTCGCCACGAGGAGCGCGAAGACAGATATTCGGAGAGCATAAAAACCAATTTGAAATTGAAAACAACAGCAGTTGAAAAAGAAAAATATCATAATTTTCTTAAAAACGAATAAATAAGCTTTGAAATATCGATTATCACTAATATCTTTTTTGTGACGCTTTTACCAGCCTGTGGGGGGAAAACCCAATTATGGAGAACCTTAAGAGGTGTGGCCCTCAGAAGGATACTGTGGGACTCGCATGACCATACAAACTAAAAACCCCCAGAGGCTGGGCCCAAAAGGCAGAACGTCTGATGGAACCAGCCCCTACTAGCCACCTCTCACAGAGGATGACTACTACTACTACTATCTGCTCGAAAAAAAACACTTTACTTGAAGTTTTTCCCTGTGTGGAAATAGCATACGAACCGAAAATGGGGAATCATAGTATTTTTTTGTGGTAGCCATGAATTTAGGGCGTCACCCCGACGTGTTGGTCAGGATGCAATTTAATTTTTCTTCACTGGGAGGCACGGTGCGATTTCTTGCCAAAACATGCTCAGCCAACACACTGCTTGGAATTGTGATGAGACCCTTGAGCCCACCAGAATCCTCAGGACCTTCCTCAGCTATCTCCACTACTAGTTCGTTGATATGGTAGTGGTTGAATCGCACTTCACAGACTTTATCGAGAATACGCAATTCTGACATTTTTATCGAGTCTGCACCTGAACGTGAACCGGAGTCGAACTCAGTCGCTGCTACGAAATCGATCATTTTGCGAGATTTTTTTCCGATAAAAATATGCACATGGTCAACTACACATACTGCTGACAATAGAGAATTTGCCAGAAAAAAGTTGGAAAATTCTCCTTGGCACTTCTGCTGTAGAATCGTGTGTAAATTTTTCATAACGTGGAGAATAGGCGCAATCTTTGAATATCCGTTCAACTGTTAACTTGATGAAAATTCTCGAGCTCAGTTGCCAAACCCAGACACACATCTTCCCTACCCTTCATCTCGCCCTCATCACTCCATAAGGCAAACCCTTCAACATCTTCCGATTGCCTCTTCGATGCATTCACTCCACCAGCACGATCGTCATATGACGCATACCGTTCATTAGCCTCTCTCTCTAAAACGACTGCCGAGATGGGCGCAGGTCGCAGGTTCAAATCCCAGCGCTACCATTTTCAGCATCGTCCACACCTTCATCACCAGATCCGTCATGGTCACTACATGCATCTTGGAAAGACTCTCCCGATGACGAATTCCGTCGCCTCCTCTCCCCCTCAGAAGAGGCATCACTGAAGCTCGACACTCCTCGCACCACTAAAAATTCCCAAAAAAAATATGAATCGCTTCGCTCCGCCCTTTACTACATTGTTCATCATCAGGTGACGTCCCCTCCTGTACAACTATAATCTCATCATCGGCGTCCGCTGTAGTAGTCGGACCAACTGCCGTGCCCTCCTTCGATAAGGTCGGTGGGGTCGATGAAAATTCCTCATCATCAACCACCGACTCCTTCCTACTGCCAGGAAGGCCCTCCTCTTCCTTAGCATGATGACTACTCCTTCTATGAGAAGAGGCCCCCGCTGCTTGGGGATTCATCACCGACTGAGCCACATACAGCCACATCATCGATGGAAACAAATGTTCAACGAGGAGTGGTATCAACCTCTAGATACCCTTCTCACCTTAGTCGCCTTTTGGAGCGTTTTCTGACTCTTACTCGCGTTCTTCAATACTTGTCCCATCATAGCATTTCCCATTTTCTTAGATTCTTTAAACATTTTCTTACTATAGTGCGAAGCGCTCTTCATCACCTACGCCGACCCACCCCTCATAACATTCGCCACTTGCATTCCTTTGACATACCTCGTTAGGATTCGACGGATGCTTATAATCATGCCGATATGGGCGAACCACTGTTTCATATTCCGGGACCTGCTTCGGCACTAGCAACACCATAACGAAGTGACGGTAATAATATATGTTCGCTTTTTTCAGCTGAGCTCAGGAGCCTCCTCACCGCTTGAAGTTTCCATGCGGGGTAGAAATGTACAGAGATCAATGAGAATTTTCTCAGAATTTTATTTTGTCATCATGAGCAAATATTTGCCATACTGTCAAAGCTCAACTTTACAACCAGAGAATGGTTCAACAGTAGACTTTTGCCCTAGTGATATGAAAAACACTAGTGAAAAACATACTCTACGACTACTGCGTATCACCGCGTTTTTCACCGAGTTTTACGCCACTTCACGTAAAACGGGTCGTGAAACTCCAGTGTATCACCCTACAGCAGCAGATACCAACATGCACATAAATTTCTCATCCTCTGTTGTGGTTGTTAATTTCTATCACGATCAAACTATGCAATTGCATTCAACAACTCGTTACACAAAATCCCAAATTTGACCTAAAACCCCCGCGCCCTACTACTACCTTAGGTAAGCTGCTCTCCACCTCGTCCTTAAAAGGAGCTCCGTAAGCTGAGAAAAACACATCACACCAAGACCCCTCCCTCCAGAGAGTACATCCCATACCACACCTTTTCCAACTCCCATTACTACCATCATTAGCCTCATCGACTTTATCATTCATCGCCCTTTTACTCCGAGCTCGTTGCTGTTGTTTCCTTATCTCTAATGCCATGCTTTTAAACGCATTCCCATCAACCCATGAGTAGTGTAGATGCCTACGACGTTGAAGAACTCATCAAAGTACATCCATATCATCAACAACAACAACAACAACAACAACAACAACAACAACAACTACTACTACTACTACTACTACTACTACTACTACTACCACTACTACTACTACTACTACTACTACTACTACTGCTACTACTACTACTACTACTACTGCTACTACTACTACTACTACTACTACTACTACTACTACTGCTACTACTACTACTACTACTACTACTACTACTACTACTACTACTACTACTACTACTACTACTACTACTACTACTACTACTACTACTACTACTACTACTACTACTACTACTGCTACTACTACTACTACTACTACTACTACTACTACTACTACTACTACTACTACTACTACTACTACTACTACTACTACTACTACTACTACTACTACTACTACTACTACTACTACTGCTACTACTACTGCTACTACTACTACTACTACTACTACTACTACTACTACTACTACTACTACTACTACTACTACTACTACTACTACTACTACTACTACTACTACTACTACCTGGCGTTCTTAGGCAGATTATCAATCGGAATGTAAGTCGGTTGTGTTAGATCGTTGAGAATATTATACAGTTTCCCCACAGTGGACTGAACATAAGGCACTCTCCAGAGCCCTCCGAACCCGAGGCCTACCTTAGCGCCCTTAACCTTGAGTTCATCCAACCATATCGACATACCTCCACCACAAGTGAAAGGCAATTTAGACCATCTAAAAAAACGCCGCATTTAACAGTACGTCACGTTGCATCGTCAACTCGATCGAGAGAGGTCCATTCCGAAGCGTCACCTTGGATCGATTCAGCTCGATTTTCTCTACACTGAAAATTCTACTTCTATTCCTGGAAATTTCAACCTCAAGAGATCAAAAAACACTGGAGAAACCTGTTTTACGTGAAGTGGCGTAAAACTCGGTGAAAAACGCGAAATTCGCGGTGATATGCAGTAGTCGTTAAATAGGTTTTTCATATCACGGGTGAACCTCCACTGTATTTGCTGCTACTACTACCGTTTTCCATGAGTGCCCCTCTCCAACGCGATACTCTCAGACCGGTGCTTTATCCGTATCCCGCCAGTGTGCTCGACCAGAGACTCCCCAGTGATAGCGCATATCACCGATAGACTGTCTGAAAAGATGTCCTCGCCGCGGTTAGAACCCGGGACCTCCTACTTATGGTGTATAGACGCATAGTTCGCAAGAAGCTCCTTTCCTTGTTAAACTGGAAAGCATCCTGGGGAGAGTCAACGTAAGACAAGCGGCTCCACTCCTCAGATGAACTGGGCTCCAAAAACTAACACACGAAAAGCGACACATCATTTTCCGATCAACTACAATATGAGAATTTTGGGGAAATTTTGGAAAATATTGTTGGTTTCTGGACATTTTGAACTCCAGTGAAGGAACTCCTGAGCCCAGCTGAGATAAGCGAACATACATTCTAAAACTCCAAATATACATATGTATGTGACATACAGTGGAGTTTCACCCGTTTTACGCGAAGTGGCGTAAAACTTGGTGAAAAAACGCGATATTCGCGGCCTGTAGTAGTCATGAACTATGTTTTCCACTGGTGTTTTTCATATCACTAGGGTTAAACTCCATTGCACTACAACGACATCAACCTCAGCGCGATTCCGAGTTGATTTGGGTTTCTCGTAGGAAATACCGCAACTCAAGTTCATTCATTACTGGGCCTTGCTGCATACACGGTGCCATGAAAAGGCCTTGTAGGAATATCTTGAAGGCTCTGGTAGGACTCTTGGTTGGCTCAGCATTGTCATCCATCCCAGTGATACGCGACGGCGATCGAGTGAATCTGTCAAGTTCCCTCATCTCCTTTCCTCTGCAGAACTACTACATGTTAATCGATACGCTCTCAATCCTCAACTGTAGACCAGCCGTTATGAAGTCCCACCAGCCAAGCTCAGTATTCCGCCGCAAACTCCTCTTAGCTTCATCATCGATATTACTAACTGCTGAGTTGATATGCTGCTCCAATAGAGCTTCTCGTTGTGATAAGGCAACCTACCAATATTACTCGAGTGAATTTAATATTCAGAAGCCATATTAGGACACCAAGGATAGCTAGTTACAATATCAAAATATACAGGTGTAATCACTTGAAGTCGTCTTACTACTACTACTACTACTACTACTACTACTACTACTACTACCACTACTACTACTACTACTACTACTACTACTACTGCTACTGCTACTACTACTACTACTACTACTACTACTACTACTACTACTGCTACTGCTACTGCTACTACTACTACTACTACTACTACTACTACTGCTACTACTACTACTACTACTACTACTACTAAGTAAACTCGAAGTTGCTCATATCCGAGTTAACCATGACTTGGAGTATACATGTAGTAAGAGTATAAGCATGCTACCCCTCTTCACCCACCTTGCAGTTCCATTCAACATCATCATACATATCATGCACTGTACAGTCCAGCTCAAGTGATGGTATGGTTATGCATACCTACGCCATGATGGGACTAATCCAACGACCCCAAAGGGCACAGCTTACTGGCTTATACCGGATCTGAGTCCACGGTATCTTGACAACGGCCATACTGCAGTACGCTCGAGTGATCTGCGAGGCCGATGACACAGTACTATGGTAGCATTTGGTCATACTTCAGTCGTGTACGGTAGGATAGTGTCAACCCATTCCCGTATAGCGTCGATTTCGAGCTCGAATGCGTGCAGAGTGATCTCGCCTGACATGAGCGACCTGAGAAGGACCAAAGGTGTGGTAGGAGAATAAAGCGGAATATTGTTACGCCGAGACTTGATCATATTCGAGGCCACGGATGTACTTTTTCAAGTAACCCATGATGGTGCTTTTGTATAAATATGACGTCATGATGGTCCATTAAAAACGCCCGCAACTACTATGGAACTGAATTGTGGTCCAATCTCGAAGATTCACTTGAGGCCCAGGCTGACCCAATTTGTTCACTCCAAACGCGACTACTTCGGGAACGCGAGCTTGTGCTCTTTGGGATACAAATAAGAGCACAGAGTAACCCACATTTGTCAGTGTTTTCATCAGAAAGATCTAGTTGAGGACTGAAGGTAGTCAGTACTTCCAGCAGGATCCACCAGTGTTGTGATACATGTTCACTTTCCTCAGCTGAGCTCAGGAGTTTCCTCACTAATTATAGGACTTCATATACCAGTCAGGTTAGAAGCATACAGAAACCAGCAAGAATTCCCAAAATTTCCTCAGAAATTTCATATTGTCACCAACACATATGGTTGACCATCTGCGAATTTTCACCACACTGAGCTCCACTATCAAAAACGCTCAGGCCCGTCTCGGCGAGTTTCTCCATTGGGATCTCTAAGAGCCGTTCCAGAATCGATTTTAACACGTTAAAGTTGCCTCTTCAGTGACCGGCATTTTTTGGGCGCGCGCGTTTTTCTCATGGTCTGACTGGCTTGCCATTCTTGCGCTTTCTTGCATGTCCTTAGCGTGATCGATATATATGGTCGGCCGGCCCAGGTGAACAAGTCGCACCTTTATCCCAAGAGATGGCTGATCGATATCTCCTCGCATCCAACCTCCCTACTGAGGGCACCCGCGTCCCCGAGCGCAGTGCTAAGAAGCTCGAGGCCCAGGCCCAGCTCAAGGAGCAGAAGCTCGCTGCTATTGCTGCCAACAAGAAGACTAACCGTGCCTCCAGGAACGCCTTGAAGCTTCGTGCTTTGAAGTACCAGAAGGAGTACAAGTCTGAGGAGCGCCGCCTTATTGGCCTTCGTCGTGAGGCTAAGAAGTTCGGCAACTACTTCGTTGAGCCCGAGGAGAAGCTCGTAAGATTAGAGGTTCTTTTCTTTGCTGGTTTGGACTTATCTCCTTGTAGGTTTTCGTCGTCCGTCTTGCTGGTATCAACAAGCTCGCCCCCAAGCCCCGCAAGATCCTGCAACTCTTGCGTCTTCGCCAGTTGAACAACGGCGTCTTCGTCAAGGTCAACGGACCTATGATGCAGGTACAAACCTGAGCTCTCCATGAGCACATCAGGTATTTGGTGACTCCCAGCTTCCTGGATACCACGCAAGTGGGTCCGGGCTGGCGATAGCCAAGGGTCAGTGATTCCCTGAGGGATGAGGCCTTTCCGTACATCACTATGTGGACCTGTGCCACTTGAGTACGATGACTACCATACATATCTGATCGATGTGCTCTCATGGTGTGATCAAATTATGTTAATGCTTCCTCAGATGCTCCGTACCGTTGCTCCCTATGTTGCCTTCGGTTACCCTAGCGTTTCCACTGTCCGTGAGCTCATCTATAAGAGAGGTTATGGCAAGATCAACAAGTCTCGCATCCCCTTGAACGATAACAAGCTCATCGATGAGAAGCTCGGTCAGTTTGGCATCCACGGTAAGTAGGGCGTGTCTGCATGGTTGTGTATTCGCGTATCTCTCTGGGCAAGAGTCTCTCTTATACAATAGGGAAGAACTCTAATCGGATGCGCGTAGATTGACCGTGGAGTAATCACCCCTCTACCCTTTGGTACTGTGGGCTTCATGATCCTCGCACACGTCTAGCTGTGAATAGAATAACTATCCAACCTCGTGAACCATGTATTTCACAACGTCTATTACTGGACTTTCTTTCAGGTATGGAGGATCTCATTCACGAGATCTACACTGTCGGACCCCACTTCAAGGAGGCCAACAACTTCCTCTGGCCCTTCAAGCTCTCTTCCCCCAAGGGTGGCTTCATCCGCAAGCGTCACGGCTTCAACGAGCTTCGCGGAGGTGACTGGGGTAACCGCGAGCAGTTCATGAACAACCTCATCAAGAGGATGAACTAAGCTAGTCGATCACACTTACAAGCGATTCGCCATCAGCCATTGAGGTTTTCGTCGTCTGATTACCGCAGACGTCGCATAGCCAGATATGGAGGTTTCGATTTGAGCCTATTTGAGTAGCCGCTTGGGACTAGTTTTGGCATTGTGTTCAGTCTAGTTATAACTTGTTGGTACAAGTCAATGGTTGAACGTTGAGGGTCTAGCGAAGTATGAGTGACATTTCATAGTGGACCGTTCGATTACTCTCGTTGCACTGTGGAGTTCCATGCCAAATGAAACTTACAGTCGTCGTTTTATTTGAAGCGGATGATTCGGGTGTTAATGTTCAATATAGTGACTTGTCGTTGACATTTATCCGGTTTGTTTGATCGTCTTAGTTATCTTGAGTCTCGTGAACCCTTGCTGAGGTGATGAATGCGTGGAAACTGTAGGAGATTGGCATGTTTCGATCTCCTTTCGGTAAAGGACATGATGACTATATGTGTAGCATGTGATGCGGTCATAGCAACGTGAAGCGTTCATTGGCTGCGGTAGTTCTGGGAATAGTAGTAGTTTCAATGTGCTTGCTGTGGATCACTTCTTGTTATGTAGCATTTCCTCAGCGGTAAAGCTGTGCGTAATAGTCTCTATCGGGGGGTTCTTGCTCCTTGAGCATGGTATAAGGTGCGTTCCAGTAGTCCAGAACAGACGTTATCCGATACGTAAGATCGACTAGGTATCCGATGCCACATTGAATTGTGCAAACCTCTTGCGGTCCCCTTGCGGAGTGTAGCCTTGGCTCAATCTCGGCCATCACAGAACAGAATACGATTGTTCAATTGTTCAACTATCGATCTCGTGAACCGATATTGATAGTTGAACAATAATCTCGTTTACTTTTTCCCTCAGAAAAAGCGGGATCGGTATGTGTTCATCACACTCACTGCCCTGCTGGCCCAATGGATAAGGCGCCACCCTCCTAAGGTGGAGATTCCGAGTTCGATCCTCGGGTAGGGTACTGTTGCAGCTTTTCTGAAACTGAAGATTGGTTATTCCGAGCATGGTGTGAACCCTGCTGCTTGACAGACGATCTATCTGAAACACGGCTCGTCCCCGTATTTCATTATTCGAACCTTTACACTATGTCGCGCCAACGAGACTGATTGTTGGGACATTCACATGAGGCAAACACAGGATTGTGGATGAACAGCACCTATCCCGACGCTTTGGTGGTACCAATCGTACGGTTACAGCACTGTCGTACGATGGAAATTGCGCCAACATGAAGTGAAGATTCTGATACCATTTTTAGGCAAGTTATGAATTTGCCATAACGCGTAGGCTTCCATCCCTCAACCCTGGACCATGAGCATGATTACTATCAATTGCCGGGTTCACGTTTGCTTGATGGAACACTCGCGCGCCACCTAAGAGTCGCGAATTGCAAATAATTGATCCGCCACGGATAGCTGGAGCTCAAGTAGGTACGGCGCATAAAATCTTCGACGGAATTTCTGCTTCCTTGAAATGCATCGGCCGGTCGCTACCTTGCATGGACTGTTCCATGGGTACTCCATTGGATTCTGTTCACAATTGGTTCTCATGCGTCCACATACGAGTTCTACGTTGTATATGTACACAACGCATAAAACACTCCTCCAACTGATCCCTCGCGAACCAATGTGCATCGATGCGAGTCTAACTAAGCCGTGTTGTCGGCGTTGAACTTTGAACTCACACACACACACACTCCTCCACATATTCTTAGCAAATCCGGTTTCTCGATTCGTGGTCAGTCATCTCAACGAGTACCATCTTGCGACTCGGGGTGGGGGGATATGCTCTTATGCTTCACGTGATATAACCTCCAAGTTTCAGGGCCTAGCTCTTCGTAGTTAATGAGAAGTCGAAAAGGTAGGTAACGGTGGTAATAATAGTCATAAGGTCATGAGATCTTATTACCTTAGGTAAAAGGTAATGAGGTAATAGGTCGTGGTCACGAAGTAATAATAGTCGTGGTTAATAATTATCTCCACACATTCCTAGCATACATGTGTTGAAATCTTGCCTCAGGATACTAACTTTTACTGGGGAAGTATATCTATACCTCCGCGCCTTACCTAATTCTATACATCAACAGAAAGAAGATCTTTCACAATGGTATCCCTCCATGTTCGGGTCCCATATTTGGAGGCACAAACCTGCTAGTATGTCTTGAGCTGTGACGGCTCCCTGAATGGCGGGTTTTACACCTTATTTGGGCGCTTTTGTGCTGGTCAGTTTTGGCTGGATTAGATTAGGCGTCAAGTTGCAGATATACTTTACTAGTAGAAGTTAGTGTTCTGAGGTGCGATTTCAACACGTATGCTAAATTATATGGAAAGGTATATTGATATACTTCATATCCATGATATCGATTTCCCTCGACA